ACCAAACAGCTGACGAAAGCAAACGAGAGATTAATGTTGCCTTAAAAATTTGGAAACAAACCTTAGAAGCTGAGAATAAAAGGGTAAACAATTATTGAGTAGCGCGGTGTGAAGAAATCTGAATTTTAGCTCAAAGAAGTCTTACCCGTCGTGCAACGAAGATATGACGAGCTGGTGAAGCAGAGAAATGCACTGGTGGAGAAGGTTAACAAACTACGAGAATCAATTGGCATGGCAGCATACATTTCGGAGGTTTACTTGGTGGAGCCCATTTTGGACTTATCACGCCAAATTGAACTGTAATTTCTAGCAAGAACTCAAAACGATTGATGGAGACGTAAAGACAGCGAACTCATTCTCTATGGAGTCGCTAAATGAACACTCTGCAGCATCGACATGCTCTTCTCTTCCATCCTCAGAAGTTGAACGTAATCACAAATGATCGTGATACGCAATGTTCTAGCACTAACTTTTCTATTTCCATTATGCATTTATAATGAAAAACTTAGAGAATACGTTGTGAACCAAACATACTTTGCAAACACAGGCTTCTGAGAAAAATTAGAAGCTTGAGCAAGTAACTAGAAATGTAGACGCGTAAAACGGTACAGATTTATGCATATCAGTTATTGTCATTCAGTATGCGAAAGTCTTGTCCGCAATTCTACTAAAGAATACACAAGCAAATATAACATTTAACATTGAATAGCCACTAGAATACTGATTGGAAAGGCGATTTTTTTGAATATTTGTAAGTCTCTTCATGTACAAATCTATTTTACTGCGCTAGAAATCCCAAACATACAATCTGAACTGCCTTGCTATGGAACGCTATCTCGCCAACCAAATTCTCTCATTTTCACCATTTAGCTTCATTTCATTGTGTGATAACCTCAGATAAAGAGGATATAAAGCTTCAACTGTATTGTCATAGAAGCTTTGAACAAATCAAGAAATTTGGGTCAAATGGATCTGATGAATCAATTTTCGTCTCACTATCACAAATTCATTCATAGGCAGTGGTGTCTATACGTCATTAATAGGTAGTTGATATTCTCTTCCTAATGGCTTGAAAAGCTTGAAAGATCATAAAAATCTTCTTCATTTCTAGACCAGTGCTTCAATTAATAGGTTGGCGCTGAAATTTTCCCACAGTAGATTTGCTTTAAAACAATACTTATCTGAAATAAAAAGCTTGTATGCAGCTGCCAAAGTATTATTCTGATTTTTTCTGTTAACGCCTTCTTAAAGGAAGAAGGTGCAGAGACCATTTCCAAACGTAGAGCTCATGTTTACTTAATGTTCTGCAGTTAACATGATAACGTTTGACAAATGATAGATAAATAATAATACATCTCCACTACCCAGAAACAAACAGACTGCACGCTTTATTAGAAGACATGATTCAGGCTTCCAACGAATTATTTCGAAGCTAGTTCAAATCGATTAGAGTTACGGAATAGTTATGGTAAGGTTGTTAGTGATTGTAGCACTGCTGTTAAGCACTTACCATAATGTGGTAGAAAACTTTACGGTATCAAGTGATTAGTATCCAAACTTAGCTAAACTTAAACTTAATTAAATCCATTCGAAGTCTCCAACGTTTCTAAAGTTCTTCGTGCCCATGCCAAGAATGCTTCGCACCAGCTTGGAGCCATCTACTATCAAAGGTGGGGGATGGGATTAATTGAGTGTGAGTAATTCAGTTAATTGAAGCGTTAAAGTCTAAAAAACATTTAGGTAGAAGAGTTATTCATTGTAAAATAAAAGCTACATTTTTACCAAAGCCGATATACAGTGACAGCCGCTAAAATACTGGCCACCCGGCAGCTCCTACTTTACAGACAATTTTCAAAATAATGTGCAATAAACGCAGCTCCTTCAATCCTCATGCTGCTGGAAATTAACTGGGAGGCAGCAGGCTACAAAAATGGGAATAAAGTCATTTAAGCTCTTTTCCAATAAATGCTGCATGATATGTTGCCGCGAGGGATACCTAATATAAAGGTAAAAGCTTTCTTCAACCTTACTGCATCTCGTGGTTGAGTAAACGTATGAAGAATGCAAAAGGCAGGCGGTGGCTTTAGCTAGTATCTGAAAATTCAGTTAAGAGAGGTATTCAATAAGCTGTTCATGATTATCGCACTCTTCTCGTTTTTTTATTGAAGAGTTACAAGGGTTTTGGTAAGATCTAACTCTTCCGCTTTGCCTATGCCCTTATTTGGAGAACCAAGTTTTGCATTCGCTATAACTAATAATCAGTCAATTCAGAAACGCCACTGCTACCTTGTATGAGCACTGAAAAAGTGAAGAGTATGCAGAGTAACCCCTTTAAGTGATGCTTCAAAAGATTTCAAGGTTCCGAACCGTTACCATCCACATACCTAATTCTACAATATGAGCGTATCGTCGGAAAGGGTATGGCATTCGTCAGCATATCATGACCCCATTTAAACCCCACACC